GGCCCTCCTCTGGACCTGCTCCAACAGGTCTGTGTCTTTCTCATGCTGAGGGCTCCAGAGCTGGACGCAGCACTCCAGGTGGGGTCTCACCAGAGCAGAGCAGAGGGGCAGAAATCACCTCCCTCAGCCTGCTGGCCACGCTGCTTTTGATGCAGCCCAGGGAAGGAGCCCTGCCCAGCTCAGCCACAGCCCCAGATAGACCATGTTGAGTGTCCCAACATCCCCCAGCACCACAGCTCCCGCTGCTGCATGTCCTGCCTGGCATTTTGCCACGAGCCAAGTGACTCTCCTGTCCTGGGAAGCCCTGCAAGCCCATTCAGGGTTTGGTGGGTGCAGGGCAATGCTCTTGCCAGGCTGCAGCATGCAGCACCTCAGGGCTCACCTGCCTGTGGAAGCGGGTGCCATCCTCCTCAGGGACACTCTCGAAGTCGGTCACAAGCACCCTGCCCTCGATCTCCCGATGGGTACTCTGCACGCTGGTGTCCAGCAGGTAAATCTCCACCAGGTCACCTTTATCTACCAGGGACGCAGCCAGGGGGAAAGGCAACCACCGCCACAGTCAGCCCAGGCCACCTGGGATGCTCCCAAAAGGCAGCTCCAGACCCGCAGCACCACGGGGCAGGGGGATATCCCCATTCCCTCGAGATCAGGAGAGGGGACTGGGTCACTGACCCTTCCCCGTACCCCCATGGTCCTCCCCCCACACCCCAGCGCTTACTGGGAGGGCTATAGGCGCCCGAGCTGGGCTGCGGCGGCACGATCCTGCCCAGGTTCCAGGGGATGCTCTGGGCAAAGACGTAAGCATCCTCCTCAACGTAGTCCACATGCGGCAGCTTCAGTGCCTGTGGAGAGGAGGCACAGCGCCCACCATGGTGGCAAAGCTCCTGTTCCCCCCCGGAGGCTGGGGCTACCACTCCCCACCAGTGCCCACCCCTGCTGTTGCCCCCGCGGCGACCCACTGCCCTGGGACCTGTCCTCCGCCCCACGTACCATGTCCAGAACGTCGCTGCTCATCTTCACCAGGAAGGCGGGCAGGAGGGGAGGTGGAAGACATGCAGCAGCTCGGTCAGGTATCCCCGCCGAGCCGCCCGGGCCTGCAGCCTCCGCGCCGTGCCTCGCACCTCGGCGTCACCGCCCTCCGGCCGCAGCACCACCACGTAGCGCCCA